GTTTAGGGTTTGGGAGTTTAGGGAGTGGCAGAGCCTCGGTCTGAGCAAGGCCGAGCTGTCAGAGCGCCTACTCGATGAGCTCCAGGCACGGATGACAAGTCGCATCATTTTGACGAATATATACAACAATTACAAGTAGCTGCGTTACTAGTATTCTCATTAGTAGTTATTGCTATCGCTGCTATTGTGATCTTTATTTCCGAATTTCATGGCATGGAAGCAACGGACCCGTCGGAGTTTTTTTGCTTGGGCAGCCCGGAGCCTCTGAGGCCACAGACTCCCCAGCACGTGCTGCAAAACTTGAGTCGCTTCTGCCACTTGGAGTTCTGTGTTCTTTTGCTCTGTCCGCTGCTTTCGCGCACGTCTTGAAGGGATCAAGGGTTCTGAGACCCGAGGTGGCAGACCTGGTACTTTCACGAAGACGAGGCCCCGCTGACAAAGCTCTCGGTTCCCCTTCCACTCTGATGTGACGAGGCCGCGCGACAGCTCCTCAGGGACGGTTCGGACCTTCTTGCAGAGGGCGACCTTGATGAAGCCAAGAAGCGCTTCTGGGCTCTTATGCCTTCGATGTGCCGGCTCCGTGAATATCCCCGCATGCTGGCCATCGACTACGGTTGCTCTATCCTAGGTTTCTTGCATGCTGCTATCCTGGAGCCTGGTTGGGCAGAACCTTGGAGGGATAAGAGGCAATGTGGGAGCTCGAGGCGCAGCCTGTGTAGGGTATGACAGCACGAGCGTTCTTGCTTATCCAGAGAAGGAAGCTTGGAATCGTCTTGCAACGGACGCTTGGCAATACGTCGTCAGAAGAATCAAGTTCTCTCACTCTCTGTAGCTGGGTGCTGCTGCCCAGCTTTGGTACAGGAGGGCAGCGGTTGCATGCTTTCGGTCGTTTGCTGCTGAAGAGGTGAATTATTTGCTGGGGTTCTACGACGAGTCTCTTGCTGAGATTGACAAGGCAAGGCCCTAAACCCTAAACCCNNAAACCCTAAGACCCTAAACCGAGAAAAGTCTGCTTCGGGTTGTGCTCGGTATCTTCGTGCAAGCACCGAAGCGGACCTCTGAGACGCTGGAGATCGTGCCCCGTCATTTCGGCGCCTTATCAGGCCGAGGCAGGGACAGGGTATAGGGTTTAGGGTTTAGGGTTTAGGGTTTAGGGTTTAGGGCCTACTTTATAGAGTTATTTATGGGCTGCCGCCACTGCCGCCGACCCCAAAGCCGAGACAGCAGGTCCAGGTGTTGAAAGCA